ATAGTAATAATTTATTTTCTTTAAAGTTTATTAATATAATAATGATTATTATTAATTAATATTTATTAATTATTAATAGTAATAAATAATAATTAATATTAATGAGAGTTATAATTTAAAAGTCGCAATAAGCTCCCAAAATGCTACTTCAAGTAGTTTTTCAATAAGCTAGCTTATAGTCATACAAATGTGTACCCAGAAAATAAGTTTGTTTATTTTTTTTTCCAAATAAAGCTAAAGTCTCTTCTATGCGCACCCAAAAAATAAGTTCGCTTATTTTAGCTGCATCTTATAGTAATTAACATTAGATAACAAATAATAATCTTTAAATCATTAAGTTTATTTTTATAACTGTAAAAATATTTTACACACATGCACGCACACGTTACGATAATTTGTTAATCAAATAAATAATATTAATTTTATAGGTTTATATAAACCATTTATTTTCTAATCAATGGTTCTGGTTAAATGAGAGGTTTTAAAATGAAGAAAAAGGAAAGAAATTAAATGAAGGACGATTTTAGAAACAAATTATTTTTGGAAGATAATCATCACCGCTCTTTCTTTTCTCCCAATTGAACTGCTTCGTGGAACTTTGTTTAACATGGTGTTTATTTTTTATTTTTAGAATAATAATCATATTTTGTATGATATATGTTTAAAGTTCGTAGTGTTGTTTCATTTATGAACTTTGAATGTTCTCGTGCTTTTACCGAAATCAGAAAATTTATAGATGAAATAATGATTTTTGTTTAAAGTTAATAATATTATTTCGTGTATCGATTTCTACAAGTTTTGCATCTAAGATTGCTTAAAAGGGTATTAGATACAATCACGATAAAACAAAATGATTAAATCCAAGCATTAAACTAAGAAATAAAAACAACTTTAAAAAATCTACCAACCAATCTTTTTAGTAGACCTTTTCACTTCAAAATCGAAAATTAAATCAAACCTAATACCAAAACAAAACAACAAAATTATACAGAAATAATCCTGTTAAAATGTGAGAGTTTGGAGAG